ATCCCAGATTCCCAGCTTTCTCAGTTCCCGAGTTACCCAAATTCCAGCCAGAAAATTTCACGGGGCGTACGTGCAACCACGCACAGTGGGGGGCTGAATTTGATAAATTTAAGTTGTAGATGAGTTGGGAACATTTCCTGAAAGTTTCAGCCTACCAGCTTCCCTGATTCCGGAGTTAGCCATTTTCCCGCCAAAAACTTTCACGGGGGCGTACGTGGCAACCACGCACAACGGGGGGCTGATTTTGATAAATTGAAGTTATTGATGAGTTGGAAACATTTCCTGAAAGTTTCAGCCTTCCAGCTTTCTTGGTTCCCGAGCTAGCGATTTTCGTCCCAGGAACCCTCACGGGGCCGTACGCGGGAACCACGAACCCCCGGGGGTTGAATTTGAAATCTTTGAGTTCTACTTGGACTGGAAACATAATTCCAAAATTTCAGGCTTCTAACTTTTCTGGTTCTCGAGTTAGCGATTTTCCCGCCAAAACTTTGAGGCGCTCGTACGCGGGGCCTAGACGTCCTTGAGGGTTGGTACCGCGGTCGTGGGGTGGCACCTGGCCGGGGAACCCACTCCCAAAACCTTGGCACCGGAGCTTGCTTGGGTACCGAGTTGAAATATCTGGACAGACATACAGACCCAGACACACATACACACAAAAACACACACACACACGCGCACACCGGGGTCGTCACAATATGCTCAGGAAATTTTAGTACTCCAGATGCTTCTGTTGTGGGATTACTTCAAATTTCACGTGTTCGCACGTGACACTTACGTAAAACACGAAAGGAACATGAAAGGTGTTTTCACGCCCATCTGGTCAAATGCCACTGCCGGTCACGCCCAGAAAGTTTCAGCTCTCTAGCTGTTTCACTCCCAAAGTTATAAGACTGCCTGCGTGAAATTTTCATATGTCGGTATGTGAGAGGCAAAGGGGCTGGAAAGTTCAACTTACTTTCCACGAACGCGTTAGTGGGCAGCAAGTAACGCTGCAAAGTCACAGCCCCCTACAGCTTTTTGGTGAGCCTAAAATGGCGTGGTGTCAGCTCAGCTTTGACGTATGCTTACGTGAGACCTAAGGGCGCGTGAAAGCTGAATTTGAAATCTTTGGATTAGACGTGGCCAGAGAACACCTCTGCGAAGTTTCGGTCTTCTAGGTTGCGTCGTCCTCGAAATTGCATTCCCGCCAAAAAAACTTCACGTGCCCGTAAGTGAGAACCACGTGGAAATGAGTGTTCATCTTGAGAATAGTGGCCCGCATTTGTGTGTGGATTAAGTTGCCAAAATTTCAGCCTCGCAGCTTTTGTACATTTCGAGATCAAAACTCGATACTGATGTACACACAGAAACACATACACACACACACGCACACACACACGCACACACACATACACACAGACAACTCCTCAACAGTATGCGTTTTTGCGTTACACAAATGCAAAAAACGTATAAAAACACACAAAAAGTTGTTTTGTGGGTAAAGAATACTATTTCTTTGCCAAATAATAGATACTACCTTACCTGGATAAGAAACACTTTTAAAATTCTTAGTGCAGCCTGATGCAAAAACAGCTGAATGATGAGGAACACCAAAACGTCGAAATATACTGTTATACTGAGTAAATGCCGAAACAACGACCAGCCAAACACGGCAAAACCTAAATTTTCGCAGATTAGAACCAAATTCCACGACCTGTATCGAATATCAAACCACTCCATATTTTAATGCATTTTCTGCAGCTATGCAGTGCAGAAAACGCATATTGACGAGAGGTTGTCTGTGTGCGTTTGTGTGTGTTTGTGTGTGCGCTGCACATCTGTACCGGTTTCTCAACTCGAGACCCACAAAAGCTGCGGAGCTGAAACTTGGGGAACTTAATCTACATGCGCGTACGGGCCCCATCTCGGAAACGGGCGGTCTTACCCGCATGGTACCCACGTAAGAGCCCGCCAAAATTTTTTACTAACTCGGGAGCCAGAGTTGCTTGGGGGCCGAAATTTTAAGGGAATGTTCCCCGTCCAAGCAGATATTAGTGAGCTCAAACCCAGCCCCTGGGTAAGCGTGGTACCCAAGTACGGGCCTGCCAAAATTTTTTTCAGGTAAGTTGATAACTCGGAGATCTGAGAAGCTAGAAAGCTGTAATCTTAAGATGTTCCCCGTCCAAGTAAATATTAGTGAGCTCAAACTCAGCCACCAGGTAAGAGTGGTACCCAAGTACGGGCCTGACAAAAATTTTTTCGTGTATGTTGATAACTCGGGGATCTGAAAAGCTACAAGGCTGAAATCTTAAGAGGATGTTCCTCGTCCAAGTAAGTATTAATGAGCTCAAACCCAGCCCCCGGATATGCGTGGTACCCACGCACGGGTTCACCAAAGTTTTTCTTGGGTAAGTTGCTAACTCGAGAACCTGAAAAGCTAGAAGACTGTATTTTTAAGAGGATGTTCTTCGTCCAAGTAAGTCTCAACGAGCTCAATCCCAGACATCGGGTATGCGTGCGGGCCCGCGAAAGTTTTTTTCCAGTAAGTTGCTAACTCAGGGGCTAGGAAAGCTAGAAAGCTGAAATTTTAAGGGAGTGTTCCTGCCAGTTCCGACGGCCATTCTTAATCTGTTTAACTAGAAGCATTTGCCGAAAAAACCGATGCCGGTAGCGACAAAAACTGCGCGGAACTATGCAAAAAACGCATCTTTGCACGGGCAGCCCGTGCGTTGGCCAATTATTCTTTCCTTGAAAAGTGAAAGAACTCGGAAGTAAGCAAAGGAACATCACATAGTCAGTAGCAATTGCAGCCAGAAAATCTGTCGATGATTCCTCCTACAGAAAGGCTTGGAAACACTCGATAGCAGCCCTGACTTCCTTCTAAGTGGCCACATGGAAACACCGACAAAAACCCAGGCTGGAACGGGTCAGGCAGGGCAGTGCAATCATGAGTTTTTGCACTATTTCCTGCTCTAGCAAGATCGTAAGCAGTCACAATAGTTAGAATTTGTAACACACTCCTCAAAATACAGGAATTTAATTGTGTAGCTATGTGGCATTTCAGTTGTAGATGTCGGCTTCAATGACCCAACAATGGAAAGTTGCTAGTGTGCGAAAAAGACACCACTAGATGAGCTGAATTTGAAATCTTTTAGCTGCACATGAGTACGGGATATTCCCTTAAAACTAAATCCTTCCAATTTTTCACGTTCCCGAGTTAGCAATATTTCCGTCAAAATTTTCACGTGCCCATAAGTGAAACACGGGAGATTCTAAGCAGCTGAGTTTGAAACTTTTGGTCGTACATGAGTATAAGACAGCATCTTAAAGTCCCAGCTTTCTAGTTTTCCTCGTTCCCGAGTTAATAGTTTTTCCGTCAAAATTCCTTCATACCCGTACGCGAGCCCTAGACGGAACTGGGCAGCTGGTTTTGAAAACTTTTGGACGTACATTAATGTGGAACATCATCCTGAAGTTTCAGCTTCCTAGCTTTTTTCTTTCCCGAGTTAGCATTTTTCCCGCTAAAATTTTCACGTGCCCGTATGTGAGTCCCGGACTTTTCTAGGCAGCTGAATTTGAAATCTCTTAGTCGTACATGAGTAGGAAACATTGCCCTAAAGTTTCAGATTTTTAGCTTTTTTCGTTCTCGAGCTAGCAATTTTTCCGCCAAAACATTATGCATCTGTACGTGAGGATAGACGTGCGTGACAGTTGATATCACATTCCTGGGGTCGCATCCCGCCAGGAAAATGGCGAAATTTCGGCACCAAAGCCTGCGTGGTTGGCGAGTAAAAATCGTACACACACACACACATATAAACATACAAATATACATACACACACGCAAACAGGGTCGTTGCAATATGTGTTCCTGATGCATGTTGCAAAGCTCTGGAGCTGCACGAAAAAAACGCATAAAAAACTGGTAAATCGTGGATAAACTAATTCTCTTAACTTTCAGCTTAAAAATGGCACAAATTGCCGTCACAGAAAGAATCCGTCAGCACAGATTTCCATAAATGAACAGAATTCTCAAGAAGCCCCCAAAAAAAGGAAAAATTAAACAATACCACAGAGAACAGCAATTATGACAGTCCATTTTAAGATTTTCGGAAGTCGTTTTTCCAGAAGATTTTTCGCAGCTGGAATGATGATAAAATCAAGTTGAAAATAAGGCCGCATCTGTAATTGCATTAAAATGGAAAATGCTGCGAAACACTGATCAACTAGCACCTCATCGCTCATTACAGATGTAACTGATAACATCACACGCATAATAATACTTGTAATGCTTCGATCAACTGTACGTGGTTCTTCAACCGGGCAATTCATTTCTCATTTCAGTGCTGCGTGGCCTGATGTTCAGCCAGTTGACGATCTTGACATCCGTTTTGTCTTCACAAACTGTTATCGTTTAAAAAAATTTTTGGCAAGGCTTCCGCCACTTCGAGATGTTTATGGTCTGCACTAAGTATCACCACCTCACCTCAAGGGCTACCACGCACAGATGAAAATATAGCACCAACTGTTTTAAGACTGCTGCCAAAAACACAAAATAATATGGTTTAAAAGCTAATTTTACTTTTCAAAAAGTATCAAAACTGAATAATTTTGTGCTTCGCCGCAATCCTCATCAGTCCCCCAATAATTTCGGCAATCCTCATCAATTCTTAATAATTTGTACTTAGAAAAACCTGACACATCTGTGACAAATTACATACTTTTGTAAAATTATACTTACTTCAACAACCGGGAATACCAAACGATGAGTGGTGAGAAATACACTGAAAAAAGTGGAGACCGCAAATGCAATAAAAATCAAATAAATGAAGAATCTGAAATATAATCAAAATGAGCACTACAATCATTTTTTTAGTTGTTAGAAATAGCAGAAACATTTACTTGCCTTACCCTCCCTTTTTCATACTTAAAATACCGTTCTCCAACTATGCAACTAGCAACATTTTTCTGTTGCTTTGGCCAGAGCTGTATGGCCTGGTGGTCAGCATGCTAGTGACCATAACAATCGTTTCGTTTTCTAAAGGAATTTCGCTCAACGGTTTTCTTGAAAAAAATGTTACACAAGGTTTTAGCTGTTTCGAGATACTTCTAATGTATGATGGGTATCACAGCTAGTTCTGAACACGGACACCTCTTTTGCCACAACGAGACTCATTACTAATTAACTCTCTAAACTGACACCAATTCTGTCGATCTGCTTAAAAAACTGTTAACTGTTTCTTACTACGAACTTTGTTAGAAAGAAAACAGACGAGGCCTCAGCAAGCGCGACAACACTGTTTATACAGATCGGGCTCATATTAATTTGTCAGTAAAGCTGGACAGGAAATCGAAGAAATAAATGAAAAAATAATTATCTTCATAACAAGCTTCTACCTCTATACGATGCCAAAAACTACTGCCACATCACTGGAATCGGGACATTTTTCAAAGATTTCAATTTTCACAATCTGTTTATGCCTTCTGTTCGTAAGGTATCTCTTGGTGTAAGAATGGTAAGTCCCAGATGAAGTGCGACGCTCGTCACAAACATACAAACATCATACGCACATATGCATACAAACGCACACACCACCGAAACCTCAGGATGCAAAAAGCTTACCAAGCGCTCTTATTATTGACCTAAAAAAACAAATCAAAACTCAACAAATGTCAGGATCGCAAGCAGGCCGACTACCAGGCGATGCAGCACTGAACAAAGCAACTGTAAAAGTTGCCAGTTGCATAGCTGGAGAAATAAGCAAAATGGAAAACAATCATCTAAAATGCGTGCACTGTCTGTTGATCAAAATTAGCAAAATTTCTTAATTGGCACTGCTTTTTTCACACCTTCACGAATTTCAAATATGCTATTAGCGAAGATCACTTTCATTACAAATGAAGCAAAGCATACGAAAAGCTCAATCTTCTCCACCAAACAAAATTTTCCTGCTATCAAATCATAACTTTCTTTCTATTCACTCTCTGCAAGAGGTAAAACTCAAGCAGATGCTAATGGTAATTATCCGCAGGGAAAGTTGTCGACGGCTTTCTCTTTCCATAGTTACTTTAAAAAAAAATAATTACAAATGTATTCTGTTACTGACACACTAAGGAGACAAATTTTCTGTGCTCGCAAAGAATAACTGCTCAACGAAAAAGAAACAGTACCTTGAGAACTCAAATAAGCCTGAACCGGAAGCTAGGCACATAGTTTGCGCAAATGTGATATTCAGCAACAACAAATATATAAGCCAGGCTCGCAGAGATCTGAGGGATAACCTGCAGACATAAATCATCAGCACCACATGATACGGGAGTTCCGAAGCTTCACAATCATTGAAAGATGAACTTCAGGATTTCAGTTTCCAGTGCGATTCAGTTTTCAATGCGAAACAATGCGATTTCAGGATTTCGTGAGGCAATTCTTCCAATGCGCCCAACCATGCAAGTCAAAAAATCGCTGTAGCACAATACAATCTCAGGGGCATTCTGTGCCATCCATTCATTCATCATATTCCCAATACAACTATTCACAAAAATAAGTGATGGCGCCTATCATTTGGTATGTGAAGCCAGTATCGATGAATTAAGGCTACTACAAAATCCTCCTACTACAAGCAATCTGCACAAATTGTCATTTTCTACCAAAAATCTAAGTGTTCCCTGATCACAAACGAATTTCTTTTCTGGAATACGAGGATCTCGGTTTTCCGACTTTACACGTGTTTACAACCGTCACTGAAACTTATGCTAAATAAAAACTGCCCAAAATAATACCTGTCTTCAGTGTCAAATCGTAGAACGAATAAACCAAGTACAGTAGTTGAAACGGCACCAAAAATTGTGAAGAGAACCCCGTAGCAAATCGTTCGAAGTGATGTAAATAGCGACAGAACGTCTGAAATATTACAGAAAATCAGCAAAAACTTTAATTTCAAGCGATCACTGGTAAGAAAAGCTACTGTCCAGCATAACGCCACAAATCATATTGACCACAACAAAATTTTGCTAACTTGAACTATTTAAAAACTACCACCTAGCTTGCTTGCTTTTGATCTTTCAAGGTTGATTTATTAGCAGCTGCTGAGAAAAAAATCCATATTTCGATATCCGCCAGAATCTCAACATCGATTTCTCGATTACAAGGCGAATAAGGTGCGTAGGAAGGAAGGAGTCTAAAAAATAAACAAGGATAAAAAAAGAACCTAGCACAGCTTTTAAGGGATGCCAAAGTGAAAATTGCAGCACACAGGCCCCAATGAAATATACTATAAAACAATATAATGCATGGCATCCAACCGCTTTTGCCGTTCGCAGAAAAATCTGAAATGGGAAACAGTGTCTCGAATGCAAGGCTTAAACCATCATATAAAACGCCTAAAATGTATTAACTACAAGACGATCTTCGCTTGAATTTAAAAACAAATTCTTCATGAAAAATTTAAGATGTTGCCACAAAGTTCCAATTCCGACACGTCGTGGCGTGGGGGTACCAATGGGCCAGGCAGTATCGAGATAAAGCAAGCTGAAAAGGCACTGTGCCACGCTTTGCTCAACTAAATTTGAGCGGTACAGACCACTTCCAAGCTTACAATTTAATTCATCCACTGGTCACTAGTCACAGGTATGTTGCTTCTAATTCCAACAAAAACCCAGTGGCTCCCCATTTTATGCCTTCGCTGATAACTGAAATGGCTAAAATTCACATAAACCGTCAGGTCGTTATGAAGGATTACAACGTGAGCTCAAGCGAGAAAGGGAGGTTGGAGAGAAGTTGGTAAATGAGGTACTGACAGCAAGAAAGAGTTGATAAGACAGTAACGATGGAAGAAATGAACTATTTCTTGGTAGTATCTTGGTAGTACCTTACAAGAAAAAAAGACATGTTGGGGGTTAACCAAACCTGCACCAAACAGTCAAAAAATGAACGAAATCCGCATCGCATTCTCAGCGATTCATTACTACTGCTCTTTTTCAATACAGCCTCGCACACAGTACTAAAAGAAGGGTGCTGCACGCGTAAAAGTTAATAGGTACCGGGAAATCTGTGGTGAGGAACAAAGCTTACGAAGTTATGCTAAACATTGAGCAAAGCTGACAAGCCAAACGCAGCATCCAGGTTGACTTTGGATGACGAAGTGTCGAAGGCGCATTAAATACAGAAAGCATGAAAAGAATGAGGAAAGGAGGTAAGAATGAGATAAGACGTGTCGATCCATTAAGTCATATACGCCTTAATTCAAAACTAGGACAGGACCTCGTCAGTACGACGCTTGCAGTGTTTAATGGAAAAGGAAAAAATTGGCCAACGCACGGGCTGCT